CCAACCAACCAACCAAAAAAAAGAAAACAAAAAACAACCAACCAAACAAGCAAACAAAACCAAAACCAAAACTAAAACCAAACAACTTTAATTTCTATGATAGAGAGGTAAATCTGAGGATTGATCCAGAGAAAGGGCATTCAGGATTTAATATTTCTTCCATTGAAGTCTCAAATTTCTGGTTGTTTTGAGAATTGCTGATGCTGCATGTGATGTACTGGTATCTGCTATCAATCTGTAGGAATTATAAGCTTCTACAAGGATTTGTACAAAATCTGAGAAAGACACCTGGTCATTCTTTCATTCTCACAGTTTACATCTGCATAATAAAACCTTGCCTCCTCATTTTGATTGTTTGTACATCATGTGTGGCCTATGCTATCTCCCTTATCCTGTCAAGGTGAAAATGGCTGCTGGTTTATTCCAGTCCTGTGCCAGGACTGGACTAACTATGAAGCAGGACAGTACATCAGTACTCTGGCTGCATTTCATATTAATCACCTCAATTTCTCAGAGCCTATTTGGATTCACCCATTAAAAAGTAGCTGCCTGATGTAGGAACTTTGCCAGACTTGTACTTGGTGCATTTTGTTCTAATATTTCACTCCCGGTGCTTGTTCAGGAGTTGCCATAGCTTCAAGCATTAGTCCTGGGTTGTCTTCCAATTTCCTTAACAACAGCATCTCAGACACAGTCTTGATAGTTCTCCTTTTGATTGTGTCAGTTTGTTTTTAGATAAAAACAATTTTTGGACTGGTCTGCTATCTGTAGATTCATATATTTCAAAGCTATCTTCAAAAGAGATAGTATATGTCAGATATTTGCATACCTCATTTAGTTCAACATGCAAAAACCAATTTTTTATATCCTAACTAGTGAATAGTATGCACTATATAAATTTGTTACATATTGCTTCAACAATCATACTGCCTAGTTTTTTTTTTTTTGTTTTTTTTTTTTTTCTTGAGTAGTTCTGAAGTAATGCAGAGTTTCTGCTCTATATAGAAAGACTAATATTTCAGTCTTTAAGTACTTCAGTGGTCAAGCAACGGAACAGGCTTCCTAGAGAGGTAGAGGCCCCATGCCTGTCAGTATTCAAGAGGTATTGGGATAATGCCCTCAATAATATGCTTTAACTTGTGGTTAGCTCTGAAGTGGTCAGATAGTTGGATTTGATTATCTTCTCAGGTCCCTTCCAAGTGACCTATTCTATTCTATTCTATTCTATTCTATTCTATTCTATTCTATTCTATTCTATTCTATTCGAAAGCTCTTCCACACTATTTCAGCAGCCTGTTCTTAATGCAGACTGCTGCGGAAACTGTATTAGCTGCGAAGTCTGAAACAAAGCTGGAAAGTGGCAAATCTGTTTGGGTAGCAAAATGCTTTCATATCTTTTTCTCTTTTTCTTCCCATTCTTCTCTACTTTTTATTTTTTTAATTAGGCATTTTTTCCCAACATCTTTTCCTGTCCTTCCTTATCTTTTTTCCTAGTATGAACACTTATTTCGGCTTATAGTAATCAATGAAAACTATATGGCTGATCAGCAAAAACAGATGCATAGAAACTGAAGCAAACAGCACATGTATTTAACATAGAATCTAACTAATAAACGGAAAGAATGTAAGCTCTCTAGCCATAGAGTATCATAGCCTTCACTTAAACAAATATTGTTCTTAGACATATCATTTATCTACCTACCTATCTATCTTGTTTATTTATTTTTAATGAACAGTTATATTACTAGTTCTGCCTTAGAAATTGTAAAATGAGTACAATAACAATTTGGTGGGACTTTCTGCAGTGGGTCAAACACTAGACTATATCACATGACAGCTCTCTGCTTACTGATAGTTCAGATAGTCACTTTTGTGACCTTTTCACATTTGAGTACAGCCATCCCTCCATCTTTTTTAAACATGCAGACCTTTCTTTTCTTGTATGTGCAGATTGTTGACCTCCTAAGCTTGAGGGAAAAAGGCTTTTTAAATTTTGTATTATGCATATGGGTCAACATTCTTTACTGTATGAGATTTATTTTTTTCCAGTAGCAAGAATATAACTCAGCCAGTGTTGATCTGTTTTGTGTCTGCAATGTAGATAAGATGGCTGGATGACAGAGAAATTAAGTCATTTACAAAAATGGATTTGCCACATCAAACTATACATTCAGGCCGTATTCATATCAGAGACAGAACACATTACAAGGCAATGCACAATGTTATGCAAAACACAGTCTCCCTCTTCCACAAGCAGGAACACTTCTTTGGCATTAATTTTAAAAATGAGATGCTAAAGACATGATGCATAGGATAATGATAGAAAGGGATAGTATTATTCAATTGTCGTTACACATTAAAGGGAAAAAAAAAATGGACACATGAGTAATGAGGATGTATACCTTGCTTCACCAGTGTCACCTATTAAGTATTTTAGAATCATAGCAGGTTTCTCCAAGTACTAGATTTTTATTTTTTATTTTGTATTCAGATTATCTCACATGACCAAACCACATAATCTGTTTCTTATTCAATTTATGTGGGGTAGACATTGACATGTGATCTAGTCATCCTGTTTCCCTTATAGTCAGTTAAAGCAGAATATCTGCTTTGAGGATACAGCTGACTTATGTGAAATTTCTATACTGAAACAACATGAATTACCCTAAAAGGCCTATTTCTATCCAGTGACTATAAAAGAAGATGTGATGACTAGCATAGACACAATTACCTACATTATACATGTAGATGTATATTTTGATTCTGTGATTCTGTGATATTTGGTCACATTAATTCATCCCCTTTTCTTAAGTATTTGTGACAAGCTGTTATCCTAAAACAGTTCTCCTATGACTTAGTGATCTTTGTAGATCACTCTGTACATTTTCAGTTTTCTTTCGAATCACTCAAACTAACAAGCCTCTGCTTTTTCGTTAAGGAGACTATTTCTGAGTCTAACAATCTGAAATATATAAGAGATATTCCTTATTTCTGATGTACAGTAATTTAGTATGGTAAATTTAAACTTTAATTTGTTCTGTGTTATCCCATTAAGTTTCATTATTCTGTAATGCTTTCAATCAGTTCCTCTAGTTGTAGTGAGCAAAACGTATGATGTTTTCACCGCATTCTTTAAAAAACAACAACAAACTAAGCAATGTTCAGTCCAACAACAGAGGGTTAGGACTCAGGAACACAGTTACTTCATTTGGGCCTTGTATTTTGTGTCAGCTGAGATACTGTAACTATCTGTACCTCTGTTTTTTGCCTGATGGTGAAAGGCAAGATTGTGTAAATTTACTCATTTATTTATTTATGACATTTGAGCTCAGAGCAGTATCTCTTATCTGCAAGTGATGTTTAGAAAATCACCACAGATTAGTTATTGTACCAGAAATTGTTAAACCAGCATGCTCATTCCACTTATTTTGATCACAAGTTTGTGCTTTAAGAAGAAATTAAGAAATTCTCTTGAAAAAGAGGAATTACAATCATGGGCATACTGTTGCTGCTTCAGTTTATTTTATTTATTTATTTATTTATTTATTGCTACTGTCCAGCACTGTTTGCTGAAATATCTATTTTGCTGTCTATTATCACCCAGGCTTGTTCAGCATACTCGATTTCACACTCCACTTCTCTCTGAAGATTGGTGTTCTGAATTGTTTTCCTCTTAGCATTTTTCAAAATAAAATCCCATCTATTGAGGTAACATTAACCCTTTATTCACTTTATTGCTAAATGATTCTCACTAATTTGTCAACAACATCAGAAGAAAAAATGCAGCTTACTCCATTTTTCTAGATTCTTAATTTATGTAAAATAAAACCAGATTTAATACCAACTACTATAACACCTCTACAACAATTAACTTTCTCCTAGTTTATATACTAATATGACACCAATTGGTTTAATTACAAAGAAATATCAGATACTGTCTCCTATAAATCATTCTTTTACATATAGCTATAAAAATACTTTATTAACTATGTGAAGCTACAGATATTTTGTTACTTTATGTTTATATTACCAGATTGTTATATGTTTTTTTAATGACAAACATTTGGCATATGCAGACACTAAAGGTTAACTTTCCAAAAGGTATTCTTCAGAAGGAAAGTAATAAGTATTTCTGTATAGAAACATTCTTTTTTTTTTTTTCTTTTTTCCTTTTGAAGCATGAAGTAACATACATTCAGTGACATGAATGCCTTTAGAAGAATGAAGTTCTTTAATCAAAGAAATTTCATCTTATCATTTCATATAATTGCAAATTGTGATAGATGCTCATCACAAAGAAAATTTGTTTGCCTTGAATGTTGAAAGCTATGAAATTACTTATCACTGTCAAGGTGTTAAGACTTCTGACATTATTGCTTTCTTACAGATAAGTCTTGACTTTGCCCCTCCAGAAATGTGTATTAATGCTTACTGCACCAGGTTATTCAAAAAAAAAATGTTGCTAGAAGATATTTCGTTTTTAAAGCAGAGAAAAATATACCACAATCTTTGTTGTCCAGAAAGAAACAAAACAACTGCTGTACAATACTTTTACAATGAAGGAAAAAGACACAAAATAGCTTATTGAGACCAGTAATCTTGTAAAGGGCTAAAAGATTGCTCTGATTTGGTCTACCTTAATTATGCAATATATAAAATTACATCTAAAGCTTGCAGCACTGGGTTGGGACAATAAGAGCTTGCTGCAGACATCATACAAAATATTGAGGGGTGAAAGACCCTGAAATGCTCTAGTTTTACCCTTATACAGAGAAGGGAACGTTGACACTCAAAACACAAACAGGCATGTACACAACCATTACATTTTGCCTAGGATACTTAATTGCAGACATGCTTTTCCAGAACCAATGGTGTTACCTCCAACAACACGGAAATTAATTTCCAATCTAGCACACAAGGATGTAGTGAATATATGGATGTCTTATGGTTTAGAACCTTTTACAAACATTTTTGCAATTGTACAGACTTTCCAAACTTACCTCCTCTATGGATAATCAAAGAAGTTTCACTTCCAACAGGACATTCTTTAAGTATATCCACTACTTCTGCATGGCTCAGGTTCTGTACATTCTGCTGGTTGATCTCAACAATGAGGTCACCTTCACACAAACCAGGACATCCCTGAACGTCTAGAATTTGCTTCACCCTCTGTCCTGTAGGACTGTCTGCTATAGTGAAGCCAAAGCCCTGGGCCCCTTTCACAATGGTTAAGGTCATGAGTTCAGCTTGGGTGGCCCCAGAAGAAGCCATTGATACATTATCATCATGGGCAGGTGGTGGGAATGTGCTATCAAGCTGACTATCTGCTGGAATGGAGTGCAAGGAGTGTGGTGGTCGATCTGTTACGTCTGGAACAGACTGAGAAGTCCTAGAAATGTATTCCAAATAAGTTTCATAGTTATGTCTTCCATTTACCACTACCGGAGGCCTCTCCATTACTGCAAGGGGTGGCACCATGCTGTTGGCAGGATCTTCAGGATCAAAGGGCAAAGGGTATCCACGACATAGCACCAAGTTGACACTCTGACCAATAGGAACAGACTGGAAGAGTTTGACTACATCTGCGTGAGTATGTCCAAGGACACAAACTTCATTAATATAGACAATGACATCACCTAGAAAGAGAAGAAAACATAGTGACAACATGAGACAACTTCAGTCACTGTATGCAGTGCATTTTTTTTTTAATGAGATAGAACTCTACTAAAAATAAAATAAATTAGATCACCATGCCGACTTAAATAGAGGAGACAACAAAATTAAAACTTGTCTGCCAGACAACGTAATACAGGTAAACAATGACAGTTCTATTTCTTTTCTGTGGAAGTTCACATGGAGAATTAAGTCAGATCCAGCAATATAACTTTTCTGAACATATCTTCCCTATTTTTTCAGATCCTTGCAGTGCAGTACACATTTTTGTGTAATACATGTTATCTTTTCATAAGATAAAATGAAAGTTTATTTGGAAGGCTTGTTACCAAAAAAATGTCACTGTTTGGTGAAAAATAAAATAAAATAAAAAAAAAAAAACAGGAAGAAAATAGTAAGTTCTTATAGACTTAAGTATCGATGAACAGGGATGAAAGATTGTACTAACATGATGCTTTTTGCACTGAACATGATATTGACAGTTTCCTATTAAATGTTATTACTTGCTATCAGACATTCATGACTACTACAGTAATTTTCTATTCTAGGCATGAACTGAACTGCATCTTCCATATTTTAGAGATGTTTGGTGGTATTTTGTTGTAGTCATGACGGTTTAAGGACAGTGACAGGACAAATTTTGTAGGTATGTATAATACCTTTTTATTAGACAAACTGTTATAGTTGGAGTAATCTATTACAAGTGCCTGAAAGACAGCTTAATGTCTCCAACTAAACCAGTTGGTCAAATAAAAATAAAGATGCTACCTCTGCTTCCAAATCTTGTTGCTGATATTGTACAGAACTACCAGGCATGAAAGCAAAATACTTCAAATCAACAGACTGCTTGTGAGTCTTCATGTTACTCATGCACTAAACGTATTCTGTTACTGAAAAGAACAGAAAAAAAATCAAGTTCCTTCTTGTTATTAGATGGACCTTTATATTCATAGACATAAATATTTTTTAGAGTAATGTTAAAGTGCATATTAAAATAAAAATGAGTCATCGATGCAAATTATTTTCAAAATAGCTTTATGACCCCACAGTTTGTTTTCACATTAATAAAATATTTACATTTTTCTAACAAAAAAAGAGGGAAGTTTGGTTAGAGAAGTCTGCAAGTTAAACTATTTTTCTAAGTGAGGATAATCTCCTTATCCTACCATTAATTAGGAAGAAAAAATAATTTATAGAGACAACACAGTGAGGTGTCTACAAGGTACACTGTTCAATAATTGACTTATCACAACATAATGTTTTTTAACGGTATTTCAAAATTCAGTAATAAAATGAGAATGATTTAGGGAGGAGGTGGTTTTGTGTGGAATTGCTTCAAGTGTATTTATGAAATTATGTCTTTCAAGTACTTCAATCAAAAGATCTAATCAAGCAAACTGAGGAAAAAAAAGAGCGTCATCAAGATGCCAGTGCAGGAAAAGGCAAAGGCTGTTTCTATGTGAAAATGAAATGGTCAATTCCCACACGATCAGACGATCTAACAGCCTGACAGTAATTAATTGCATATGCACAAATTGTGATTCATAGAAAGATTTCTTCAGAGGGTGTCTAGGGAAAAATGCTAACAGGATTTGTTTAAATGTTTATGAATATTATTCACAAAAACATTAGGAGCTGCAAATACCATTTTAAATGTGTCATAAATATATGTCAAACTATAAGCAAAAGCAATAAGTTCATTTCATAGGTAGTGCTCCAATGCTTCTGTCTCAAGCAACTGATGCTATAAAAACAATTTTTGAAAGTTGAGATTTAAAAGAGAGAAGAAATTCACTGTACTAAATTATAATGGTAACAACTGCAATTCATTGTGATGTGATCATGCCCTGCTATAGAAAAATCTTACCTGCATTCTCATCCCTGGGTTCCGCATTAGCAGTGGGGCTGACATTGCTCATAATAGGACAGATACGGCTGAACTGAGACCTCTTCAATACATGCTCCTATTTCAGTAGCTTATGCCTTAACAGTACCCTTGCAACTTTCTAATCCATGCTGTCTTTATTTCCCTGAGTGTTGGCAATGCAGATATGTGGTGGGAGGAGAGCAATCTGTTTGTTCATCCTCTCTTGCAATAGTTAAGCAGAGTGTGAAAGGATTAATGCATTTATTGTGTAGGGCAAGGATAACATTGTTGGCTTTCACCCCTCCACTTTATGCCTTGGTACAGCATTATTTGTGTTCTAAAAATTAAACCAGTATGTTTTTAATAAATCAGGAAAACAGACAAACTAATTGATGTTACAATCATTGTGACATAATGATCCTGAAGGTTCCTTCTAACCTTAATGATTCTATGATTCTATGATTACAACAGCTGTAATAGAGAAAAAAAATGAGCTAGTACACAAACAGCATATTCAGAAAATATATAGGCCAAGTAGCCCTTTCCCCATCACTGAACAGGCAAAAATAAGCATTAGAAGGTCTTGGGTAAGAACTACTTCGAATAATGAACCAGTATTATCCTTCATGAGACAGCAGAAAATACTTCAGCATTTTCTATATCAACATTTTAAAAGACATTTTTTGCTTGCTGAGGTTTAATGTGAATAGGATACCTAGGCACACTCTGAAGCTGTAACTCATAGTTGAACTGTATGAGACCCATAATACTACAGTGTCATATAGAGAACATATGGGTGAAGGTTAAGAGGGATGAAGAGAAAGGCATGAGTTACTAAGTTCAAGTCAATGAAGAAGGTGAAATGGTGTTAAATGGGGGAGAAGCTGAGTTTCAGATCATGAGACAAGAAGGAATAAAAGGGGTTAATTTCAGAAATTGTTCAAATATATCTCTGGACTGTAGGAGTTTTTCCATGTCTAACTCTGTTTTCAGGCTGAGAATTTCTTATTACTGACAGAGAGAGAAGTACCCAGAATTTGGTAGGAAGAGAGAGATAAGTTAAGAGCATTACAGAGCCAGAGCCATGCTAATGTGAAGTTCAAAACTTCTCTACTTTTGGAAAGCTTCCTGAAAGGTTTCTGTAGCATTTTTTCTGCCTGTTACCTTCTGCTGCTTCTAATAATAATGGGTGCATATGGACAAGCATAATAGCTATCCCCTTTATAATTTTTGACTGACTTTTTAAGCAAGACATAGTCTGCCTCCAGAAATCACAGTTTCACAGTGAGTGGGTCTCTTTGAACTTATGCGGAATATTTATATTAAGCATCAAACTTTGTTTGGCTTTTTGAATTGAATCTACTAAAGTGACCAGAGCTTGTTTACAGAATCACTGAATGGTTGAAACTGGAAGGAACCTCTGCAGGTTATCTGGTCCACCTCCCCCTGCTATAGGGAGTTTGGGGATAGTTATAGGGATAGCAGTTTGCCCAGAAAAAAGTCCAGGTGGCTTTAGACCTCCAAAATGGGAGACTCCACTATCTCTCCGGGCAACCCGTGCTAGTGCTACATTAACCACAGAGTAAAGAAGTGCTTTCTGATGTTCAGAGGGAACCTCCTGTTGCACTTTGTGCCCCAAAGAGCCTGTCTCTGTCCTGTTTGCACCTTCCCTTCAGGTATTTGTAGACATTGATGAGATCCTCCTGTGCCTTCTCTTCTCTAGGTTAAACTTCTCTGCATGTCAATACACCACTGCCAGGTCTTCTCCCACATTTCACTAACATTTAAGAACTCTGCACATGCCCTACCAACCCTATATCACTTGGGATTCTTTGTGAATGAAGGAGACAAGGCTGCTTTACAAAGCAGACATTTGAATGTGACTCTAGATGAACTGGTAGGTTTGTTACCCAATAGAGTGGACATTACATATCCTGTCCCACATCTCAAACACCTGCACCATCACAGGAATCGATTTTGCTGTCTGGCAGCCAATGACCCAATTCAGGATTGAGTCAAACAATGTTAGAGAATGCTAACAGCAACTAAATTTTTCAAAATGTTTTACAATTCCCTCTGCTTTAGCTAAGGCTTTTGCATTTGACTGATAAACTTAGGAACATAGGTCTGAACCTTGTCCTCTGCTCTCTGATACCACACAGTATATTAAATCTGAAGAAATTCCATGCCTTTTTCACAGTAATATCCATAAAATCCTAGAAAGTTTACTTTGACCAGCTTGTTCTGTTTAAAAAGTTTTTCTGATTATTTTATTTTATTTTTTCCTATTTTATGTAATATAAATGGTATCAAACCCCAATTGATTGGTTAAAGGCTATGTTTTGTTATCTATGTATTTTAAAGCAAAAAGCAACAACAACAAAAACAGATCTAAGCTATCATTGTCTTATGCTGGTCTAGTGACTAGTGAAGAAATTTGTGAGCTTTAATACCCTCTAATGACATTTTATTACTTGCATTCATGTCTACTACAATGTTAAAGAGTTGAATCTGACTCTGGGGATCTATTAGTAGCATTAAGTCTGCAAAAATACTATTTTCAGACCTGAAGTGCTTGATCTGAATGCATTTTTTTTGACATAAATCCTAATTTCTTTACGAACTATTACAATCTAACGTTTCATATAATGCTACCAGCTCTATTTCCCTCCCTTCTGAAGAACTGATGTTATTCAGCAACTCCAGTCAATCTGTGTTTTCATTACCCCTAAAATGTCCATATACACATCTTGCACTAGTAGGTAAAGTTCTTCCATTTTCTTAGCCATGTTCTAGCCATCTGTATATTACTTACCATTATTGTTTCTCATGCACTCAGTTCCCTAACTGGAATTTTTTATGGTACCTCAGTGAACTGAATTGCTTACTAGACTTCCATTCTCATTATTATTCAGACTTCTTTCCACTTTGAAGTCTGAACACAGAGAAAAAAATGCACATTAAGTCTTTGTTTTTAATTTAGGACCGCATTCAAAGTCTAGTAAAAACTTCTGCATTGCTTCTGTAGGGTTTTGGATCAAGCTCTTAGCATTCCTGTCCATGTGCTTAAAACGCTGGTAAAGAATATTGTGATTT